GATTCATAACAAAGTGCGAAAAAAAAATTGTATAATTGTATGGTTTTACGTGATCACTAATTTCTTGTGCTATCGGCCCATTGCGTCATCCAGTTTCCGACTAATTCCCACTCCACTGGGAGTGAAGACCACACATGTCTCCTCTTGAAAAGGGAGGGTAGTATCATATKTAGGTATAGTGATATATATATAGATAAATAGATCATATGATCTCTCTACTACCCACTTATGATACGCATTGACAAAGACTTTAAGGTCATTTCAATGAACAATTATAGAGAAAAAAAGACATTTTTTAAGAAATTGTTATCAACGCAATCTCACCAACATTATACATATTATTATATTATGTATATGTATAACATTGCCATATTATATCGTTTATTATAATTTTTTTTTTCATGGCGCAGTTCCCTCTTCATGTATAAACTTCCCTGCAATTCAGCAGTCGATTATTAAATGTGCCGCTAAGAATGGACATGTGCAATGCATGTCGATCATCGCAAACCACGGGCCATCGCTGAAGACATCATTGAAACCATGCATCCTGGCTGCCAGAAACGGACACTTCAAATGCCTCCAATATGCACATGACTTGGGCTTCCCTTGGAACAAGGCGGTTATTGAGAATGCAGCGAAAAGAAATCAACTAGAGTGTCTCATCTTTGCCCATAAAAATGGGTGTCATTGGACGGAAGATGCTTGCATTTTTGCCGCGAGACGAGGTCACCTTCGGATAGTTAGGTATTTATTAAATAACGGCTGTCCTTCTAACTGGAAGACGTGCAGCGCCGCCGCGGAAGGTGGTCACCTAGACTGCCTGGTCTATGCCAAAGAAAAKGGATGCCCGTGGAACTCAGAAGTTTGTGAAGCAGCGGCGGCCAAAAACCAACTAGAGTGTCTCATCTATGCCCATGAAAATGGGTGTCATTGGACGGAAGAAGCTTGTATTTTTGCTGCGAGACAAGGTCACCTTCGGATACTTAGGTATTTATTAAACAACGGCTGTCCCACTAGTTGGAAGGCATGCTACGCCGCTGCAGCAGGTGGCTACCTAGACTGTCTTCAGTACCTTCATGAAAACGGTTGCCCATGGAACAAATACACACCCATTATATCTGCGTCCAAAGGCTACATTCAATGTTTGGTCTACGCATACAAAAATGGTTGTATGTGGGATAAAAAAACGTGTAAGTCAGCTGC